GGGGGGGGGGGGGGGGGGGGGGGGGGCGGCGGTCTTTCCTTTCAGGGTCCTCAATGGTTTTGCAGTTGTCTGATCCAACCCTAAACCCTAAACCCCTAAACCCTAAACCCCTAAATCCAAAGCCCTAAGCCCTAAACCCTAAACCCCTAAACCCTAAACCCTAATCCCCTAAACCCTAAACCCCTAAACCCCAATCCCCACTCCTCTCTCTCTCCCCGTCCCTCTCTCACACACACCAGAGGGGCTCCTGGCAGACCGACACGCAAGGCCCGGAGCTCTACACTGACCTTAAAGCAACCCCCCCGCCCCTATCTCATGACCTTAAGGGTAGACGGAGAGGGGTGAATAGTAGGGTTCAGGGTTTAAGGGTTTAGGGTTCAGGGTTTAGGGTTTAGGGTTTAGGGTTCAGGGGTTTAGGGGATTAGGGTTTTGTTTAAACATGCAATAGCCCCTTGTCTCCGCAGAAGCTTGCCCATTCGGGCTTGCACATAGGGTTTGGGGTTTAGGGTTGAGGGGTTCCATGTCAAGGGCACTACATTCTCCAGAAGCTGCTAGGCCGGACTTCTCGTCAACCCTGCAACTTCTCTCCTCAAAGGTTTGTGGGACTTGAAACCTAGGGTTTAGGGTTTAGGGTTTAGGGAAAGTAGCTATACATCTTCTGACTCACAAAAACTTTTAGTATACTATCATACGCTTTAATATACCACGATATACCCTAGCATACCAAAAAATGCAAGAATGTACCAAAGGATACAAGAATATACCATGAGATACCCTAATGTATCATGGTATACCATAGTATACCGAAATATACGAAACTATAATATACTACAACATACTAGAATATACTATAATGTACTATAACATCTAATGATATAATGCACTTTGCACTAGAATCACTAGAAGCCATCCAACCCTGCTCAAAGGCGAATTAGGTGCAAAGCTGATCTTTGCCTTTCAGCTGGCTCTAGCTGGTTGCCAGTCATCCGCATCAGTCCGCAATACCCCTACACCTAAACCCTAAACCCTAAACCCTAAACCCTAAACCCTAAACCCTAAAGCTCCACAATACTGTACAATTGCTTAACAGCTCGCGCACGCTTCGCCTCAGAAGAAACAGACATGGCAGTTCCAGGCTCCAGCATATGAAAGCATGCTGTGATCCCTAAACCCTAAACCCT